ACTAAAATCAAAGTATTGCAGCATAGGAACTTAGACAACCTTTAATATATAAACCTTGGGCTGACATACGTCTTGCTGAGTGTTGTCGGCGGAAGTTTGTTGATTACAAACTTTTGACACTGCCTTGCCTGTACATACTCACTTGCGTGATGCACGTTAGGAAAAATCTGCCATCTTACTTAAAAAACAATGACTGTCACAATTACAATACCCGAAAGAAGAATGATCTTATTATAAATTACAGCCGAACGGCTAAGGCGAGAGATGGATTGAATTATTATGGTATTAAATTTTTTAATGCGTTACCTTCTAACATTCAAACATTACCAACTCTATCTTTTAAACGGCCCATACACGACGACTCTTGCAGCGTCGCATGCAGCGACGCCAAGAGTCGAGCCGCATGAAGCATCGTGTGTAGGAAAGCGCCGGACTCATGCGACGGCATCGGCAGCGGCGCGGCGACGGATAACTACCGCCATAAATAAGCTTGTAAAATTGTCTGGCAGTATTTAGCTTTCTGCCAGCAATATTTAATTTTCTACAAGCAGTATTAGTATTCTGGAACCAATTTGTAGTCTATTGGTAGCAGTACCTAGCCTTCCATAAACAATATCTATCTTCTGCAAACAGTTTCTAGTATTGTATAGGTAGTATTTGTCTTCCGCAAGGAATTTTTGATCGTCTATAGGAAGTATTTAGTCTTCTGCAAGCAGTATTAGTATTCTGGAACCAATTCCTTGGCTATTGGTAGCAGTACCTAGCCTTTCATAAACAATATCTATCTTCTGCAAACAGTTTCTAGTATTGTATAGGTAGTATTTGTCTTCCGCAAGGAGTTTTTAGCCTTTTGCTGGCAGTATTTAGTCTTCTACAAGTAGTATTGGTATTCTACAAAAAATTTGTAGTCTATTGGTAGCAGTACTTAGGTTTCTATAGACGATATCTATCTTTTTAAGCAGTTTCTAATATTGTATAGGTAGTATTTGTCCTCTATAGGAAGTATTTAGTCTTCTGCAAGTAGTATTGGTATTCTGCATCCAATTTCTTGGCTATTGTCTGGCCAGATATGCATTGGTATAGGTCCGTCGATAGCGGTTAAAGAAGTGCGGCACGACGCCACAAGAGTCTACGTGTGTAGGCCGTTAAAATCCGTCGCATGCGTCGACTCTTGCGGCGGCTCTGGCGGCACCGCCGCAAGAGTCATCGTGTATGGGCCGCTTTAGACGCACGGTTGCAGCATTCTTGACCGCTGGTGCCTTTTATAACTTTGACGTATTTTTTAGTGCTGATTTTAGTTCTATTGACCAGACTGTTACGTAGACCATTATCGATCGTTCGCCCACCAGCAAGTGTTTGATTGCAGGTCTTCTTGTCAAGTATTTTTTCTATTTTTTCTTTTTTGTATTATATTATTTTTTTTAGTACTTGTGTTTACTTTTTTGCAAAGAAATATGTAATTATATCTTTTTATGACATGTGAAAATACTTAATGTATGAAAACCACGAATAAATTATTATTATTATTAATAATGTGTTTACATGTTTTAATAAATTTCCCGATATGAGGCAAACTACAATAAATAGGTATAGGAATGTTTGTAGAGAATTAAATTCCTTTTTTGCACGATCGGACTATTTTGTTTATTTACGAGTAGTGTTTCTATGACGGTAAGTTGATTTTACTGCTTGCTACGGCTAAAACGACGGTAAGTAATTTACTTACAGTTCTAGAACGGTAAGTATAATAAATAAAATTTCAAATAAAAATATAATTTATTTGAAATTAAATGTACACTTATTACAGCTAGAAATAGAAATTGAAATATTGCTTTTTTCGGTATTTGTATCAACAGATAATGTCCGTGATGTAGAAGCACAAGCTGACGATTGTAGTATATTATCAGAAACGCTGCAAGGCGATTCATTATCAGCATGTAGAATCTTTTCTGCAAATTGATTTTTGTTTTGAAGAGAATCTTCAACATAACTTTCAGCCAGTGTCGAAGATTTCCAACCTCCATGTGTTTTTAGTCCTAAAACGTCTACACCTTTATTCGCTAATAATGTGGCTGAAGTACGTCGAAACGAGTGACCAGTGTAATTAACTGCATTTTCCAATTTTAAGTATTCAGCAATTTTCGATGATAAAGCTCCAATAGTACCTACCTGATTTTTACATTTCCCATTCCGATAATTTAGGAATAAATGCAAATTTGCATTGTTTGGCCGCTGTTTAATATATTTCCGAACAATTTTCAAATAATTAATTTTTTCGTTTTTTTATTTATGACAGTAAATATGCGCTGAATATTGGTTTTTGTATTTGGAATGGTTATAATAATAAAAGATTCACGATCTTCTATATCTTTAATAGTCATTTTATATAACTCTTCTCTGCGACATGCTCCCGCTACTCCTAATATCATTGCTACCTAAAAAAATACATTGTCGGAAATATATCCTCGTATTGTTACAAGTAATCTAAATTTACCTTATGGATTAGAAACAATTCGTCTGGTGCTTCAATTAAAAATTTAAACATTTCATCCTTGGTAAAAACACTAGCTTTTTTAGGTTTGTACCCAACATTTTTTCTTTTTAGAAAGGCAATTAATGTTGAAAACTTGGATATATCAATGGATTCGTGTAAAAAAATTGTCGCTTTCAACATTGAGTATAATATATACTCAATATATACCATAAACTACCTGCAGCTTTTAATTTTCCGTTTCTTTCGACCAAATATGCTAACAAGATTTTTTCACTCGTATTTTTATTCTTTACTCCACACCATTTTTTGAAAATTTGGTTTTTTCATAACGTACCCTAGATTTTTCGGGAATTATTGCCGAACGTCCAATATTCCAAGCTTTTTCTATATCATCACCATTTTCACTCTCAGAATCACTCATTTTGGTTATATGGTAATATATACAGTGGTACAATAAAGTCTACATACACCCCAGAAAATCATAATATCTCACCTCCTGAAATGTAATTCAATGAAATTTTTAAACGAAGGATATTAGAAGTGTATATTATTATAATATTTTACATAAAAATGTATAACTTATTATTTATAATGAAAAACACAAAACATAATCATATTTTTAACTCAAAAAAGTCTACATACAGCTATAACACCGCTCTATTTTTTATTTGTAAACATCATAGTTGCTGTAGTTTGCGTTTTATTTCATACCAACGTTATTGCCATAGCAGTATACTAACATAAATAGTGTAATTAGTAATCCTCCTAACAATCAGCTAACAATGGAAGCTAAACGAAAAGAAATACCTTATGCAGTGCGAAATATCATAAGTCACAATCATATTAATGTAATTCGAAATTATAAGGAACACAGTCAATCGAAAATAAACCAAGAAGTGGCCGGCCACGTAAACTGACACCTAGAGATAAGCGGACAATTTTAAAAACGATCAACGATCAGCCGACAACAACTGCGGTTGAAATAGCCAAATCATTCGCGGCATCAAGGTCTGTAACCATAAATCCGGAAACAGTTAGACTGGTGTTACGAAGTGAAGGCTATAACAGTAGAGTTCCCAGAAAAAAGCCGTTTATATCCGAAATAAATGCGAAAAAAAGAGTCGATTTTTCTTAATTACATGACCAAAGAATACTACTTTCTGGCGTACCGTTGTATTTTCGGACGAAAGCAAGTTCAATATTTTCGGCTATGATGGCAAAGCAAAGGTATGGAGAAATGAAAAAGAAAAACTTGAAAGCCACAGTAAAGCATGGCGGAGGAAATGTAATGGTATGGGGTTGTATGTCGGGAGCTGGTGTAGGAAGTTTAGTATGTATTTGTTGAAACAATTATGGACAGCTATGTATATCTGAACATATTCTTTTATGAGACTTTTATGAGTTATAAATATGATTATGTTTTGTGTTTTTCGTTATAAATAATAAGTTATACATTCTTATGTAAAATATTATAATAATATACACTTCTAATATCCTTCGTTTAAAAATTTTATTGAATTACATTTCAGGAGCTTAAATATTATGATTTTCTGGAGTGTATGTAGACTTTATTGTACCACTGTATTATAATTTATATAGTTTATATTATATTAAGTTTTAATATTATTGTAAGCACTGTTTACAATACCATTTCACAAATCACACAATTTGTTTTTTTTTTGTAAATAAAACCAGGGCAACAGAATTAATTCAAATTTTTTACCTACTTTATAAATCATTACAAATGTCAACATATTTTAGTAAATTAATTATTATTTATATTCATTTCGATCGTGCGAAAAATGTTTAACCATCACGAATGGTAAGTAATTTACCGGTTTCCGATACTATTGGAGTCAATCGGTAAATTGTACTTACCGTTCTGGATACTTAATATACTATTCTGATAGGCTACAAAAATATGGGCGTTCCATTTAAAATTTTCGACTTTCTCGCCATTGAATATGGAGAAACAGTGATTCAACTTTTGACCACTCTGTATAAGATACTCCGATACAACAAATGACAATCTATTTGACAGTATCTAAAGAGTAATCGTGCCAATGTAGATCTTTTTTGAATGAACGTTGGCTGAGATATGGGGTTTTAAAGAGCATGTTGAAATTGACCAAAAAAGCTTAAAACCAAAATAACTCGAAAACGAAAAACGCTAAGTACCAATAACTTTTATCAAAGTCAACCTATTTTTTTTACGTAAAATTAAACGGTGTAGTAACAACTATAGCATTCCATTTAAAATAGCGAAGTTATGGTCTACTTCCGATAGACCGGAAGTGGCGGCCATCTTGAAAATATTTTAGATCGAAAGTTCCGAATGAACAACCCATGCTATCAAAATTTCAAATTTCTACGAATAGTGGAACCTGGAAAAGTTCTAACAAACAAGTTACGGGACCATCCTGTATATGAGAAAGTAATAATTATCTTCTCCTACAAAAAATAAATGTTATTGGAGTTATTTACAAAAAGAAATAAAACTGCTGCCTTGAAGTGAAAATCTTTATTCTATTTAATTAAGACAATACAAAAGTAGCAGATGAACTTCGTAATATCTAACGAAAATAAATGCACTTAGTGTTTCAATAAATTCCATTTTTTATGTTACATTATTATTTTATAACATATTCGAGAAGATATATTTCAGAACGTTCCTGTTTTATTAAATAGTATTTTATTTTCTTTTAGCTTCTTGGCTAATATACACAATTATACAAGTACATTTTGAATACTGATTGTTATATCTTGTTTATATTGATGAGCAGATATACACATTTATTAAATCTTAATTAACTTCTTTTTTCGTAAATATTTTGATCTATCAATATTTTTTGAACACGTTTATCGATATACACCCATATTTTAGTGAAAAATATTTAACGTTTTTATTATAAAACTATATATCGATTTAAATTTTAAATCAATGTAAATTGTGATCACAGCAAACAAGGTGCATTTTCTTTTTGATAATCAGACGGATAAGTTTCGAAAAACTGAGCATCTTCATTTTTTTGTATATCTTTGGATCAATATCCTTAATACCAGAATCAAGTAAAACAATTAATATAGTTAAATAATATGATTTTTGGGGCCTTAGGCACTCTCCTTAGGAAAAATAACTAAGCTAATTTTGTCAAAATAACTTACAAATCAATTATAAAAACTTAAATAATACATTTATGTGTACTTCTTCTTAAATCTAAAAAAATCTTGTACTTTAAAGTGAAGAGAAAAAAATTTAGATCTAAATTGTACACGGACTAGAACTCAAAAAATTAATTAAAGTGATACTCCTCCATAATAACTAATTACAATACTCGATAATAGGCACATTATTCGAATTAAATCCAAATAAATAAATAAATAACCTACTCACAAGCTAATTTTCCATCAAAACTACTCAACGCAATTGCGAACGCTTGAAGTGCACACAATGGATATCGATAATCCATTGTAAACACATCCTCAGCAACCCTTCCAAATTGCATAACAATATAATCCGGATCACTATCATGAACAATTTGAAAATTTTTAACGGACGCCTGCGTCACTCGCCCATGGAAATTTAACACGTACGATTGTGTGTCATCGTTCCAAACGGGTGTTTTATTATGTAACTCGATTAAATTATCCACGTTTTTCGCTTTCCAACATTCGATCAATCCCTCGCTATCGTCTTGCGGATGAATCGTAACTCGCTGATGGTCCACAGTCATTCCTGGGAGTAAAACCGTCATTTTTCGAGGTCCCTTAAAACCTAGGACGTTTGTATCATAAATTACGGCGGCCAGTTCTTGACGCGGAATTGTATCGTTGGTGTGACCCTTCTTTGGTGACCGACCATTGTCGAATATTGTAAATTGTGTTCCCAATAGATTTGAACGAAGTTTTCCTATAAACAGAAAATTAATAAAAATTAATTGCGGGTTAATTTAAATATAAAAATATAACAAATTTTGAATTTCTTTAATGATAACACTATAAAAAAAATTATATGCTCAAATTAAATTGCCTGAAAGATGAAAAGAATGAACACAATAACGTACAGTATCAAACATTATCTGCATATTACAAATTGAGAAATAGCGAGTATGAAGAATCATTTGTAAGAATCATGTCATTACAAAATCGTTGTTTTCTAGGAAACGACCACGGCAAACGGACATGGATAATCATATGGTTGTGGATTTGTTGTCAAAAGGAAAGCACAACGAGAGCCGAGTTTAAAACCTATCAGTGACAGGATATACTATATTCGAATCATATTACGCTTGCGAAATCTTCTCGATACATGCACCCACTGAGAAGAAGACCGAGATACAAAAAGTTCATAGAACTGCTAACAAAGAAATTGGATAAAGTCGAGGCTAATGATATCAAAGTGATAATCGGAGATCTCAATATATTCCCCATATTTGGCTGACATAGCCTGCACCAGGAAATGAATAAAAATGGAGATAACTTAGTACAGTTTGTTGCAAGTAACAATCTACGTGCAGAACTCATTCCCCCACAAAAGCATCCACAAAGGAACGTGGGTTGCTCCAGCTGGAAGAAACATTAATCAAATTAAAACCAGATCAAATTCTAGTATCACAGACGTAAGAAGTTACAGAAGAGCTACTTCGAACTCTGACCACTACCTTGTCAAAATCAAATTGAGAAAGAATTAATGAAACTAAAAAGAAAGCAGCTGACAAAATTAAGAAGTACAACACACAAAAATTGCGGGAAGATATGGAAGCCCAAATTAATTATAAGACTAGGGTGAGGGAATAACTGCGAAACCTGGAAGTTGAGGAGGACGAAAAGTAGATTTTTGCTGGATAACCATTAACACGATGCTGCAAAAGACTGCCGAAGAAGTAGTTGAAACTCTAGAAGGGGTAAACAAGAATGACTGGTATGACTAGGAATGCAAGGAAACTATTGAATAATACAACGACCGACCAGAAGTCAAAGACAGTAAAAGCGTAATTTCACGACAAGAAACATCTATAGTATAGTAGTAATATAAATAATATATATTATAATAAAACTATAACGAATAAAAACTTACTATAAAGAAAACTAGGAACATATATCACCCTAGGAAAGTTATGAGGAGCGCGGTAGGTGATATTGGAAAATACGGATTAGGTGCTAGATAGATGCGAGCAGTATTTTAAGAAGCTCATTAATAAACTACGCCAATCTATAGAAACAACAGTAGAAAAAATTCAAACGGTACAAACCCAAATAAGTGAGCCGTGTTTGAAGGAGCTCATAGTGGTCGTACATCAGCTTATACTAAAAATCTGGGAGGACTGAAAAGATGCCTACAACTTCGGTCCCTTAGGGCCGGTTGTACAATATACCGATAAACTTCCCGACAGCGCTATCTGGCAGATAAGTTAGTTTGTGCTGTATTACAATGCACGGATATTTTTGTCGGTGAGATTATCGGCAGGATAACTTATCGCGTACTCAGCGGTGCCGATAAGACACTTATCCGCCAGATATTTATGGTTACCAAAGTTTTTATATAAAAACTTTATATGGTTACTGCATAGGTTAACCTATAACATTAAAGTTAATATATGTACGATGACAGTTGTCTGTCGTGAAAATTTTTTTAAAATAATTATTCAAAAACATAATTCAAACTTCAAAGAAAGACGTTAGCGTTACCATTCTACGGCATAAATCACTAGATATGGGGAAAAACTACCAACCGACTCTTATTTCGCCGATAGCAATCCTACCGATAAAAACAGTTTGTACAACAGCGAATATCCTTATCCTCCTGATAAGTTTATCGGCCGGATAGATATCAGGTAGATTTATCNATTGAGAAAGAATTAATGAAACTAAAAAGAAAGCAGCTGACAAAATTAAGAAGTACAAGACACAAAAATTGCGGGAAGATATGGAAGCCCAAATTAATTATAAGACTAGGCTGAGGGAAGAACTGCGAAACCTGGAAGTTGAGGAGGACGAAATGTAGATTTTTGCTGAATAACCATTAACACGCCAAAATACTGCCGAAGAAGTAGTTGAAACTCTAGAAGGGGTAAACAAGAATGACTGGTATGACTAGGAATGCAAGGAAACTATTGAATAATACAACCACCGATCAGAAGTCAAAGACAGTAAAAGCATAATTTTACGACAAGAAACAGACCAGAAACATCTATAGTATAGTAGTATAAAGAAAACTAGGAACATATATCACCCTAGGAAAGTTATGAGGAGCGCGGTAGGTGATATTGGAAAATACGGATTAGGTGCTAGATAGATGCGAGCAGTATTTTAAGAAACTCATTAATAAACTACGCCAATCTATAGAAACAACGTGGTCGTATATCAGCTTATACTAAAAATCTGGGAGGACTGAAAAGATGCCTACAACTTCCGTCCCTTAACTTTGGTTCCACCTTGGTAAGCCGAGTAGTCAAGGTCAAAGAGTTGCTTTGGAAATGGATATTTTGGTTCTTGGCGAGTAGTGACTACATATAATATTTCTACATCTCTTCCTATGGCTCAAGAGCTTTCCAAGCAAAAACTTACAATTACAGGAACATTGCGTGTGAATAAACATTAAGTTCTCAATGAAATTTTGTCACATGTATCACGCCCAGAATATTCTAGTTTATTTGGTTTTACAGGTCAACTTATATTAGTATCCTATGTGCCAAAAATTACGAAGGCTATTCTTTTACTGTCGACTCAGTTTCACAGTATCGATAAAGTAGGTAATATGCAAAATAAACTAGAAATAAATATCCATTATAATCAAACAACGGGTGCTGTTGATATTGGGGATCAAAACACCAGAGAGTACAGTTATGTTTAATCAACAAAAAAGTGTCCGCATTTTAGAATTTTTATGGAAATGATCGATATGGCAGCTCTAAATGATACATCATATACAGGGTTGGTTCAGATTTTAATCGAGAAACTTTACTAGGGCTTGGTACTTGCCAAAATAACACAAGTTTTTTTTTGTAAACATAGGGTCGCAACTCTTTTGTGTTCGAGCTATGAGTGATCAAAGTTGATCCAAAAATTTACATTTTATTTTGGCTAAAAGTAAACCGTAGAATTTGTACTTTTGTTTGTATTTACTACTGGTTTTAACACGTTATTTTCATGCATACCGCATACCTTAACCTTCTCTAACGCACTCTAAGGAGATTAAATTCACAGCCATTTTGAATTTTTTATAAGAAAAAAAATTTCTTTTTCCGTAAAGATAATATAGTAGACGCCACGAGAGCTGGCAGTAAATCATCATTTTCCGCTCTTACAAATGCCATACGTAGTTCACAAACCGCTAGAGAGTAATGTGTGTTAGAAAGAGATAGCATTAGTTTAATATGTCTCCTGTACAATTCAAATGGCCATGTCGAAAAAGTACGTCTGTTCTTCTAAGGGATGTAACTCTACAATTATAACCTCAAATCGAAACGTCTTGTGAGTGTTGTCATGAATCTGTCAGTGTTTTCACAAGCCGGAAATGTTTTCTATGAAAGGAAAATCATTAAATATTTTTGACAATGTTTGACGTATAACCTCCATTACTAACATAACCTACATTTAAATGTATGAGGTGAAACAATCTAAGTCGTACGTCCATATCTTGATTCATACCATTTCTAAGCGATCTGTCACTGCCAGCTCTCGTGGTTTCTACTATAGTTTTGGCGTAAAAAAAATAAAATGTAGTGCCGTGTACCGCTATGTACCGTCATATTTACCTAAAATTATTCTAAACAGTTTTACGACTAAAAGAAGTGGTATTGGAAGATACCTGTTCAGTTACTTTTGGGAGCAGCTCTGCGCAATGCAAGATTTCTTTGTACCGCAGTGACGTCAAAACGTTGTAAATGAATTACAAGTCAAAGTATGTAGTAAGGGCGCTTTTGCAAACATCAAATAATATCGCCGCAGTGGTCAACTTTTCCAGTTTCCAGTTTAGGTAATTTTTTACGATATAATGACTAGTAAGTACATAGTATAGGAATATATATTTTTTTTAATTAGAATAGTTCCATTACCACTATCCGGATATTTAATTAATAAGTTTTCGCATCTTTAATTTTGTTAAGATTGTTGTATTGTTCATGATGTTGTACTGCCCTATTGTTGTAGTCAAGGTATATTGAATATACATATACTGAGTTCATATAGTGATATTCCTTTAACTGTATTTATAGTGCAGTTCTTAATGTTCAAAAATTAACACCCCTAATTACATTTCTATTTGATTTTTATAGCACGGTTCATAATGAATCACCACAATTATTTACTTATTGTTTACTATTATTTACTTTATTTACTTCCAGTGACTTTAGAAAATATTGACTGTCAAATGAGAAATGTGATGAAAAATGAGTGCTATAAATTGTGGATTAAATCTCAATATTTTCACGTTTTCAAGGTAATAAACAGTCGCTTAAGTTGGTGTTGTAATATATAATAATACGACAACACATAATAATATGTGTTGAAAATATCAATGATTTACGGAATCGTATCATCGCATCATGTGGAGTGGAACTACCAGGACTATTTGAAAGAATACCAAATTCAATGAGGCGAAGGGTAGAATCGTACGTTGCTGCTGAAGACCGGCATTTTCAACATTTATTATGACTTATTATAAGTTATTATTGTTATTAGTACTACCATTATTATTGTTCAATTAATTTATGTGATATGTATTTCTTAATTAACATAGTTTTTCAACTAAATAGTAAATGCCATTCTTTGAATAAAATCTTAGAAGTATTTAGTTGTGCAGAATATTTTCAGGCCACACATCTCTAGAAATTTGAGAAATTTTTTGTAATAAAATTAACAATTTTAGGAGAAAATGTTAAGAAACAAAAGAGTTGCAGATTGAATCTCTCTATTTAAATCAAGTTTT